TGATCAAACGCCCTCTCCAAATTCTGTTCCAAACGTAAATCAAAAATCATCCAAGCATGACTGGTTTGATTTATATTTTACGACAACTAGACATGCGAAAAATAAAAAATCAAAACCTAGCGAGCTAAGCATTACGAGGCCCGTTCCATTAATGATGGGGGAATTTTTGCTGTGTCCAGTGCCATGAGCGTAGCTCTATGTGGGCCGGAATTAGCAACACTTAAGGTCTTGGAGTAGGCTAGTCTAAACTAGTAGAAGGCCTCCCTAGGCTAGGCCTAGACCAATAGTATAGGAAAATACTGTATAGTCATATGTATACAGGTTTACCGACAGGTTTACATTGTAGGCCTACCAAGGTCTAAAATTAACGATTTAAAAAAAAAAAACAAAAAAAAAAAAATTAAAAAAAAAAAAAAAAAAAAATACCCACTCTGACCCAAGACTCCTGTTACTCGCCTGGGGTTAGCGCCAATGTGTGCCCTTGTGCGGACAGGGGATTGTCCCCCCTCTGAAGCTAGCTGGAAACCTTGTTTTTGCAAAATAAATTGATGCAATTTGCTATCATAGGCCTAATCAATAAATTCCTCATCAACCGATATAACTTTGGAATTGACATAACATTACTGATGTCGTACACACCCTTCGGTGTGAAATGTGGCTCTCTTTGCAAACACATCTAACATCCAAGAAAAGAAGAGCTTAGATTGGTAACAGATAAAATAATTTTGTTATCAACATTAATACATTATGCTAATTTTCATCTTTGTAAGCGCATAAGACGTTGCAAATTATTTCTGTGACAGTCTTTTGTGTGTAAACTTCCATTTTATCCCATACATAGTCAAAATATTGGGGGGATGATACAATGGGCCATCCCCCCTTCAAATATTGGGGGATATATCCCCCATCCCCCAGGATCTACGCCTTTGCCTGCAATATCTGCCACCGATGTGGCCGTATACTTTGCGCAGTGACGTAACTACCTACTTTACCAGTGACGTAACTACCTACTTCAGCAGGTTCGTTGAACCTGGGCCCCAAGCTCCAGGGGCCCTTTACCAGTGACGTAACTACCTACTTCAGCAGGTTCGTTGAACCTGGGCCCCAAGCTCCAGGGGCCCTTATTTATAAGGGCTCGCCCCCTTATAAAAAAAAAGACCAATAAAGCCATGCGTAAATAAAAATCTAGATCATTTTATCATTTGAAATTGTTAATTTACCTTCAAAATAATCAATTATATATGCCAAAGCCCCTATGCCCAATTGTAGGCCTAAAAATTGTCACTCAAACTCGGATATCATCGTGATGAATGGAAATATCCACAGTGAAACAGATCGTCATCTATGCATGCATGAAAGCCTAACCAATATAAGTTACTAAGAATCGCTTGTCAGAAAAACTATTCTTTCTTTTTACCGCTGATGATTGCTGGGGCGTTTGTCCCTGTACCCTGGCCTTGGTACTTTGGAGCTCATTAATTCCAGCTTGGACTCACTTCACTTTAGTCTGCATTGGTCACAATGGCTTGACATTTACGCTCTTCCAGGCCCTATCTCAAGCTCTTTTTGTAAAATTTTATACTTTTTCCAATATTCACAATAGAAATTGCAGTTTTATATGTAAGCATCTGCTTGAACATTGACTGCACGAACGATAGTTTCAGTTATTTTTTTCATATTGCAATTAACTTGATGTCGGCATATTATTAGAAGTGGTTAAATTTTTAAAATCTGCACCTAGCCTCAAGGTGGGGCTGAGGTGTGTATGGGTATATAATCTCAAGTCAGCAGCTTTGATAGTGTCTCCATCACTGATTCAGTACCATCTTTATCATTACCGTCATCATCACCTCATCATCCTATAATTATTTCATATTTTTTCTGGTTATCTAAAGAAAAAAAAAACATTCTTCTGATAGGACAAATGTAAAATCAACCTAATTCAAGCAATGCTCATCTCTCTCACATGTCAACCATAAAAAAGTAAACCCCCGATTTTTAGTGGTCTATTATCTAAAACTTTCACTTTGTCTATCTGTCATTATTTGACTAAATAATTAAAACTGCTTACATAGTAATCGATATACTACCAAAAGCAAACACATTACATGAGGCTTAATACAATGCAATTGATAGTACATCTCCATAGCGAGAAACTCAAGTTGTTAATGTCTCAAGCCGAAGTAATTCGACAAGATAAAAGCATATACCAGACTGTCCTCTACTACAAATTCAAAAGATAATAACTTAAGATTTACTGTAGTTTTGTTTTGTTTTGTAATTTTGTTTTGTTTTGTGTTGTTTTTTTCTTCTTCTTTTTTCTGTATGTTTTGTTTTTACTGTTGTTTTGTTTTGTTGTAGTTTTGTTGTTGTTGTTAGTTTTTCTGTAGATTCTATTGTATTGTGGAGCCCCTTGGAAGAGCAGTGTTTTCACTGTGAGGGCTCACTCTACCGACAGAAAAATAGAAATAAACATGCGGAGATACCAGTGCCGGTTTTTATCAACGCAAACGCTAAATATAATTATGGTCTGTTTAGGTTTATTTCTCTAGGTAGTGCCATGAAAAATAATAAATTGTACAATACTTGATTTCATGGGTTCGTGCCCGGAATGATGTTCGGCGGGGAATAATATTAGTATGGATTAGGCCTACTTCAGTAAAAGAGTAGTAATTGCTAATTTATATGCGTCAAGGGCCCCGAAGGTACTTTTGAAACAAGGTCCCTCGGAACCTAGTTACGCCACTGACTTTACGACTGTTTTCATCATGCTATTTTGTAGGATAATCATAATCATCGGAAGAAGAGAAACGTTGACGACCACGATCACGAAGAAGGCGATGACCACGATCACGAAGAAGGCGATGACCATGATGATGACCATGGAGAGAAACAAGTAAGAAGAATAATCCTTCATTTACGTGAGCAAATTATTAATCAGAAACATTCGACGATCAAAGTCGTGTTTACTTGGCGCATTATAGTGACATCATTTTGGTCAACCTCGTTTAAGTTAAAAAATTATCGTTTATAAAACTTAAAGAAAGCTTTCGACAGAGTCGGAAAACGTGTAAAATATTTCGTTGCACTTCATTTATTTTGTAAAAAAAATACAACCGTGCTAGATTAGATTAGCCAATTCGTAGTTCGAACTGCGCATGCCCGTATCAAGGCAATCGACATAAATAAACATAAACACATCATAAGTTTATCACCTTGGGTACGGGCATGCGCAGTTCTAACTACGAATTTTCTTATTGCTCAAAAGTGATCTAGGGCCTCTAGATCAGCTATCGGGAGCTCTCCTAAACTGTAACACGAGTCTGTCAAAACAAAAAACAAAAAACATAGAAAAATAGAAATAATATATAAAAACAATAAAATATCCTACTTAATATCATGTTCCAGATTTAAAAAATTAACAAAATAATATTGACAGTAGATGTCGATTTGAAGCAAATTTGCTTTGTTTCACGTAGGCCTCTAAGGGCCTATGTGGAAATAATTAAATAATTACAAAACAATAAGAGTCAACATTTAATAGAATTACCCATATTAAGACAGACCATGTAGCACTAACGGATGACGTCATAATTTATTCATCTTGCGTTGCGGAGTTGCCTACGTTAATTTCAGGATTTTACGTGCTCGACGTACAAAAGTTACGGGTTTGCGCATTCACTGCGCCCGACGATCTTCGGCCTACGCGATTATATGAACGCAACGCGACAACGCGCGCAACGGATCGTTTTTAATGACGATGATCCGTTCAGACTGCCACCAAATCTTTGCTGCCACCGTCAATCAGCAGACGGCGTTGCGTTTACTAGCGCTCAAAAGAAGCGAAGTTGAATTCGTCGTGCGACGACGCAGTGAGTGCCTTGTTATGTTTAAAACTTGTTTTTATTAATAATAGATTGGTTTAGTACTTAAGTATCACATCCCAAATTAAAATCATGATGGAATTGACTTATGTTAAATAAAGAGGTGACATGTTTTTCTATAACGTAAAAGCTACTCAACAAATCCAATGGCCAAAATTGTGCTGAAAAAATAACCTACAATATTCAACGTGTTGCAACCACATATAGAACCTAAGTACTGTAATTTATTCGGATACTACATTTTTTATCAGTGGTACACTTACTTATGTGTGTCTGAACAAAAAACAGTTATAAAAATAATAGAAAGCAATTGACATGACTGTAGAAGGCAACATAAAAACAATTGTCAATATGATAAGTAATCAAAAAATAAGTAAATGATAATAAAAGTGTCTATAAAATAATATGAAATAAAGAAAATAATAACTGGTTCAGGTATACTATGAAAATCTGACTTGATTAGAATCTAAACTAGAGCAGTCACTCCAGATATACAAAATCTGATTTCTGTGACTCTGACCTTGTCCTTTGACCTTTACTTCCTAAAATGTATAATCTATTTCTTGGAATAATATGTACCACCATTCCACTAAATATTATGATGATCCATTCATTAGTTTTTGCATATTATCTGGCTAACAGGAGGCAAACAGAACAGACAGTGGTGAATACAGTAGCCTCTATTTGGTGTAGGTAATGATAAAAGCATCATGGAATGCTACGGACGAAAGGGTAAATTCTCAGAGTTCACCCGGCCAATAGAGTAATAGATACAAAAGAGACGACTACTTCGACATAAATTACGGCAATAAACCTCATTCTGACCCTTTCCACACTCAAAGAAGACAATATGAATAATAGACATTTCTGGGGTGTCAATCAAACTTAACAACTGACTAATCAGAACACCGCTGGTCTTACAAACACACGTGTTGTCCCACAAACGCAGCTTTCGATTTGTGCGACGAAAACGCGACGCTAGAACGGAATCACTCATGCGTGACAATCCTACCTGGCGTCCTACGTTCTCTGCGTACCTAGATTTGGCCATATTGCCAAAGATCGTATAGCGCCGCGTAGCGGCGCTATACGATCTTTGATATTGCGTTCCAGAATCAACTCGACGAGGTGAACTTAACGTTCTCGCATGCGCAGATGACTTTTAGTGACGTCATTACGTTCTACGTCCTACCGTCGTCGTGCAATCGAAAGCTCCTACTGTAGTCTTGTGGGACCTTACCAACAATATCCAAGGGGCGGGGCTTAGCGGAAAGGTCTATTGAGGTTACATTAAGAATATTCAAGTCTTAGGGAAAAAAATGCATTCAACGATTCTAAAAAGGTAGGCCCAATAAACAAGGAAGACACGTACAACCATGGAGCCATAAAATCTAATTTATAGCGCCATGGAAGAACACACTAAAAGCTATATAGTGGTTTTTTGGGTTTTTTTTTTTTTTTTTTTTTTTTTTTTTTTTTTTTCGATCTGGTCGCTAGTTTTTTTGGAATCATTGTATTGTCAATACAATGGATTGTTGATTTTAACTTGTTTGTTAGTATTCCAAAATTACTATAATATAATGTTTAAACCAAATAAAAAAAAGATGTTTATCAATCCATTTGTTAACTCACGAGATATATTCTACAGTGCTACAGTGGGGAAAGTTTATTAGACATATTCGGCATTGATCACGAGTCCGGACTTCATCAGGAGGATCTCGAGCGAATATGTCCAGCTCTTTTGCAGCAGGTTCTTTCAAAATCGTGTGAAGAGGAACATCAAGAAGAAGAAACAGTACAAGAGGAAGAAGACAAGGCTAAAGGTATACATAGTGTTCAAAAACAATATTTTATTTCTCATAGTGTGTTCTGCCTTCAACAGCTCTTTTTTGTGTTCAAAGTAGTTTTTTCCAGAAGTGCTAGTAGTCTAGATAGTCATCATATTAATTACAATGGCAAGCAATTAGTAATAGACGGCCTGATAAATTTCAGATGTTTCGGAATAAAATGAATTGAAATGGGGACAGAGGTAGCTAGACAATGATGCCAATGACCCGACATAAGCCTACAATAGGCGCATGAACTGTAAATAAGCCGCACATCTTTCGAGACGAGTAGGGGGGTTAACCCGGTGTACTCGTCCACAAACAACAGCAGCTGGCAAGGGTTTACCGGGTGGCTCAGACATGAAATGACCAGAAGCCACACGAGCTGTGCGCGCGCATCGAGCCCTTTAAGACTTCTGCATAAAGAGCTATTTAAATCCAACTATAATTACAACATACAGTGCAGTGGCGTCACAGAGTTTGCGGGGCCCTGGCGGTGACTGTTATTGGGGGACCTAATAAGCAACAGAAGCGACCGTTAAGTTTGTGAGCGGAGCGAACAAAAAAACTTAACTTTCACCGACACCGGTCGGTGTCCGAGGGGGCTTGTGCTCAGAGCTTATGGCATTTATGAACTGTTAACTGCGTTGTCAGAGAACATAGAATGGTCCAAAAAAAAAAAAACTGCAGTGATTGTTTACATGAGCCCTGAGATAATCCGGTTTTTGTATGATGATGCCAGGCCAGTGTATTTTCAGTGTTTAAAACTGTCGGGGCCTCACTGAATGCAACTAAGGTATTATATAGTTTATATCATATTTTTTTTAACTACAATGTTGGGGCCCCTCGTGCCTGGGGGCCATGTCGCTCCGCCCCCCCCCCCACACCCCGTGAGCGCCCGAGTGTGACGCCACTGATTACATATTAATGGACTGACCTCAACAGAGCACAACAAGCAAGCTTCAGAAATTTATGTTGATCATGTATCTTCTCATTATCAGTATGGCTTGCTGGTTTAGGGTCTGTAATCATCATTAGCCTGGCGTCTTTAGGCGGTGTGGTAATTTTGCCATGCATCGGTAAGGAATCTTATTATTACATCATCCAGTTACTCATTGCGTTGGCGGTAGCTACTCTGGCTGGTGATGCAATTCTACATCTGCTACCACAGGTATATCATTTATCTATCTGTCTCTTATACACATCTAGATGTGTATAAGAGACAGGCTATATAGTTTTTTTTTTTGTTGTTATTTTTTTTGTTTTTGTTTTTGTTTTTTTAATCAGAACAATTCGTTATTTCGCTTTTGTTTTTATTGATGAGGGAGAGGGACTGTCTGTCTCTTATACACATCTAGATGTGTATAAGAGACAGTGTATATATATATAAATATGTATATATTATCATCATCAAAGAAAGGTAATTACAGTAGCGGCTATCTTGATCCTTTATTACACATTGGCTAACATTTTGTTCGATTTAGGCATTTGGTTTACACGCACATGGGGCATCAGAGGATACGCATGACGATGAAGACCACGGGCCACTCAGCGAAGAGTTGGCATTTGTTTGGAAAGGTTTCGCTGTAATGGGTGCTATCTATGCATTTTTTCTTCTCGAAAAAATCATGGGAATGTTGATGGTAAGTTAAAATATCTCAAATAATGCGAAAAATGAATAATAATCATAATAATAATAATAATAATCATAATAATAATAATAATAATAATAATAATGTAACAATAACTTTCTTAAATTAATGAAATATTATTGATAATGTTTCTAAACGTTTCCTGCGCCCTAGAGGCAGCTCCGAGAAGCTTTTTGTATTAAAAAAAAATACAAAATTTGTGTCTTATTAACATGTACCAAGTTTTTCATCAAACATCCATTTATTTAACGTATAAAAAATTTTCAAAAAACATATTTTTAAAATATCGTTAATATATAAAAGGTCAGTTGTACATAACATATCAAAAACTGTTTGCTTCCGGAGCTTTAAGGTGCTGTACAAATATTATATTTTATCCCTGTACTTAAGTAATCGATTTATTCCCACATCTTCTTCAGGTTACTCATCGCCCTCTAGAATCGAATCACAACCACCATCACGACTTCCCTATGAAGGAAAACAAACAATTGACGGCATCCACCACTCACTTGGTACGTACGTCACGCCATAAATTGTAGGCCTATAATTACGGAATACAATATCACACCCCTTATTGTAGTTGCATGGATTATCAAATGAATGATGATTATAGAGTTGGGTGTTTACATTTTTAGGTTAACTATTGTCTACTTATATTTAATTGGTGCACGTTGTGTGAAGAGCGAACTTTTAGGCATATTATAACCCCTGGGTTATGAAAATGATTTGCGGGGTAAGAACAAAATCTCCATAGGGCCCGAGCCCAAGCCAGGATGAAAACTTTTGTTGTCAGATTTAGGAGGAGACTTAATTTGGGGAGCGGCCGAGTGGGGGTCCCAAGTGAAGGGGAGGCCCCATGTGAGGTGTTGCCCCGGGGCCCTTACTGGCTCTCGACGCCACTGCATGTGGTCTTAGGACGACCTCTACCCCTGGTTCCTCCAACCATCCCGTGCATCACTGTATGAGCTAATGTTCCCGCTTCTACGTGCCCTTTCTAGTAATGGCTCGTACTGCACCGATAAGTCTTTTTATTTTGATTCTCACTTCGACAATTGATATTTTCTGTTTCCATGTAATTCCGAGGATTCTTCTATAACAGCGGAGTTCCAATGCCATAACTCTTTTTCCATCTTTTCATTGTATGTCCATGTCTCACATTCATACAAAGCAATAGAAATGATTAGTGATCTCAACAGTTTCACCTTAATTGAAATGGATATCCCTTGGGAGTTCCACAATTTATTTAATTTCGCAAGCTGGCTCGCTGCTATAGCTAGTCTTTTCTTTATCTCGGTATCTGATGTGACATCCTCGTTCATTGTGGAGCCAGGATACTGAAAGGTCTTTACTTCTTCTAGAGTGCTTCCATTCACTTTGATCGTTGTATTGTGGGTATCAAACCTACGTGAGGTAACCATTACTTTGCTCTTGTCTGTACTTATCTCCATACCATAACTTTTAGCATCTGTATCCAGCCTAGTGAGACTACTAGTTCTTCCTTTGAGCCCGCGATGAGATCAATATCATCAGCAAATTTTAGGTTCGTTATCTCTCGGCCACCAATTGTGACAGTCCGTGAAGTCTTCAAGTGCATCTGACATAATCTGTTCCAGGAAGATGTTAAAAAGACATGGGGACAATATGCAACCTTCACGGACTCCGACTGTCGTTTGGAACCATTCTAGGGTGCTATTGTTAACTGACACCGCATTACTGTTGTTGTTAACCAGCCCAGAACCAATGTTGTGTTTTTTCATTACTAGCCATAGTGCATTCCTCCAGAATCTATCAAACGCCTTTTTGAAGTCAATGAAGTTATGGTGCAGTTCCATTTGATGATTCCTGTATTTCTCTCCTAAAATTCTCACATTTACTATTTGCTCCACAGTACTCCGGCCGCATCTAAATCCAGCTTGTTCTGATAAAATACTTTCAGCCTTCAATTTTATTCTATTACTAATAATACTTAGCAAGACCTTACTAGGATGACTGATGAGACTTATGGTTTTATTGCTACACTTCCTCAAGTCTCCTTTCTTTGGAAGTGTTACAATCAGTTATGTCTGATCTATACCAGACTCAATTGGAAATTCATCCAGTTTTTTTGTTTTTTGTTTTTTGTTTTTGTTTGTTTTGTTATTTTTTTGTTTTGTTTTTGTTTGTTTGTTTGTTTGTTTTGTTTTTTTTTTGCTCGGAATTTCTGTTTCTGTACACTTTCCTCTTTATGACGATTACTATCTTTGTCCTTATTGACGTGAGGCAATCGAGTCTCCGACTAACAGTCTGGTCAGGGTACATGTAGATTCCTTGTGTGAGGTGCACTCTATTACACGTATTACTAGCCATTTTTGTCATCCCTCATGCACATTATGCTTAAGTGCAATTTTTTACTTAACTTAAGTGAAATACAATAATCCTCAGGTTGAATTTATTATCCTTAATATTATTAATCCTAAATAAGAACAATATTTTGTTAAATGAAATTAGCTTGCCATACGGATAAGACCTAGGATTTTTTGCTAAAAAAATTTAAAAACATTAACAATTGGTTTTATTGTTAATGAAGAATATACTATATATTGTATATAATGTTGAAATGCAATGATGAATTTATGATTGAATTTGCCTTTTTCCTTGTAGAAGGAGGATGGTATTGATGATGAAGATTCGACGACAAACGGTGGCTTTTTTAAAAGTGAGTTACAAGTTTTGTTAGTTATTCATTTAATTTGTTCCTTCAACGTAATAAACATCTTGGCCGACAAATGTAAAATTATATTGCT